TACATACATACATACATACATACATACATACATACATACATACATACATACATACATACATATATACGTAAGTAAACGAACTCTAAAAGACATTGTAGTCATCATCTTAACTTTGGGTCGAGAAGAATCATGTGAACATTCGAATGGCCCTAAAACACTAACATCACTCACTAAGTGCCCTTAAGTCGATTTTTGATCCTCTTTTAGGACTGACCGAAACAACCAACTATGGCGGAGCTTGACTGCCCCTAAAATTGGCCAGCAACAACCTTAAACTGTGAATGTGAGGCCGAGTGAAATGCAATTACCTAAACACTTTACTGGAATTAGAGTCTTTCTGAACGGATCGTGAAGTAGCAATGCTCATACACTCGAGGCTGAACCAGCCCTACAAACCAAAGGTTCTTTGAGAGCAGGCATCCGTCAGGGTTCCAGCTCTTCTCGCTTCCAACCGAGACAGCCGTAGAGGTTGGGAAAAACAAATCACCACCTCATCGACGGAGTCGAGAATGGCCACTCACATCGTAGCAACCAGTTGTCCACATGCCGACGGTAAAGGGGCGGGTAGTTTGGACAGAATGCGCTCGGACTGGGACATAGGAAAGTATATTTTTATGAGAAAGAATATTAAATGGCCAGAGTACAGGCAGACGTTTTTTGTCTCCAGCCGCACTGGCGGGAACAAAAAGCATACTTATACTAACTGGTGCGAATTATTACATGTAAATAGAAATACGCATACGCGCACATATGCGCCGGCTTGTATGGTCATAGAAAGAGGAATTTGTTGCAGTAAATGTTGGGTAATTCGATGGGAAGATGTCTCGCAAGCAGTCGACTCCACTTGTACTTTGGGCAAAAAGAAGTTTGTTGTTCAGGCGTTCGGCGACGAGGTGTTCGGCTTCAGACTGTCGGGGAAGCGCGGCGGAGCAGAATTGCTTTTTTTACGGCATTGGGCAGAATCGGAGGACAAAAAAACACCACAAAACTGGGCAGAAAGCAACTGAAAGGAAGAAGCCCGATGGACTGGGGTGATAAGATATTTTAATCTTGCCACTGAAAACAGGAAAAGCTGAACAATAACGCATCGTTTAGGCATGCTTACACATGCAAAGGCACATAATGTATTCATGTGTGTGTGTGTGTGTGTGTGTGT